TACTCCGTGGATTCTGTGGAACGTCGATGGGAACGACTTTTATATCGATCGCTATCTGAATTCCGTTCGTCCCTTCGTAAATATCGAAGATTGAAAAACCGGATTGCGAGCTTAAATCGTAATGCCGTGTTGTTTCGTTCCTATATCAATGGGAAAATTCATTCTTGGCGTTAATTTCCGCGCGAAAATTCTCGATGAAAATTCTCTCTCGATGAATTAACTGAAACACGTTCGACCATTTATATCTCTTTTTCTTTTCTGTGTTAAAAAATTTATTCCGGGAAAATTCCGACTGGAGAGAGTAATAAGGAAAAAATTGCACAGAATTCTTGCTTCAATTGTTACTAAAATATAAAAGAACAGAACAGAATAATTGTAAAATTCATTTCTTCTTGTGGAATTTAACAGCTTACACGGTGCAGTTGTACACGAGCAATACTCGTGTTACTCGCGCAATAGTAAAAAAAGTATCATCAAATATTAAATATTAGTTATAATTCGAATTTAATGTTGGTTGGATACAAAATTAGTTGAAGTATTAGTCTTGAGAATGTGTGTTGTATATATATATTTCTACACTCTGTGCAGTTTTTAAATATCCCTTTGCCTCTCGTTTCTACCCGATATCATTTAAACGTTGCGGGAATTTAAGTATCACGCAATCATATTTCGAATAAACGTACCGATAAATAAATACGATAAGTCGATTGAAGTCAACTTACTTGATGAAACGCTTGTATTAATATCGGATTCGCAAGTTCATCTGTTTCAGCGAGAATTGGTCAATATCATGATGCTCCCTTCCATTAGCTTAAACAGAGTAATTGGACACTGTCAATTCGTGAACAGAATTCCCATAGTAAATAGGGACTAACGATTATGTTTAGAATTCGTGGAGATGGAGATGTTCAGTTTAGCACTCTCAATTACATTCAATCGTTAATTTTTGAAACAGAATTTCTCAAATATCTCTACGTTCTACAAGTGCAATAATTTTAAAAAGCTAGTAATTAAGGGGCAAAATTTTCGTACAGAATTTACGTACGAAATATTTTTACGTGTGTATTTCATTTAAACTATTGTACAACTTACATCTGAAAATTATGTCCAACATTCAACGTGACATGATATCAGACGTGTATCGTAAAATTACGTAGCAACTCACACACAAAATATGCACAGACGCGTTAAAACGTAGATTAGGATTTCAAAACGTGGCAAACGTTAAACTGACGCAGGCGAAGTTCTCTCCGTTGGAACCATTTCATTTCCCCTTAACTGTCTCTGAGCACATTCACGGAATCTCGTTTACATTGCGAGTAACAATTTTTTCTTCTTTTTTGAACGCAAATAAAGATTTATCTTCCGCGTGCAACACTACAGGAAAAAATTCGAGATTTTCATTGAAGGAACAGTGAGTTTGAAGTGGACGTCTGCTCGATTGAACTCGAACAAAAATTTTTTTTGGCGCTTTGCCGATAAAATTTTCGATAATTCAATTTCTGCGTACGATTATACATATACATATACATAAACATATATATATATATATATATATATATATATATATATATATGTATGTATGTATGTATGTATGTATGTACGTATAAAGTGAGATTAATCCGATATTCTCAACAAGTTTGTTGAATAAATCGCGAATAAAAATATCGTGGACAATTAATTGAGCAGTCGACCGACAAAAATTTGTAGAACACGTTGGAAATAAAAATTTCGTTGTCGTGAAGAGACCATTTCGAGCGGAGATAGGTAATAACTATACCAGAGCAATCAACTTGGAACAGCATTCATAGACGGAAGACGATAACATAACTGAAATTCGATTAGTCGTTCTATCGTTTTGCGAATCACCGGTTTATCACCCCGACAAGGTGAGAGGGTAAACGGTTATTTCCCTCGGTTCACTTGACGGTAATCGGTTCTAGTTTCAGCTGTCGCTCGAGCTCTAGATAAGTGAGAGTGGCGGCGCGGGGTACAACAGTGTGATCTTCGTGTGTTGCGGATTCGCTCGATTGTAAAATTAAATGCGATAATAGCCGGTCTAAACTCCCCTACTCGTTAGCTGTAGCTCGTTCAAGTGGCGTATACATCACGAAATACCAATTAGCGCACGGTAAAACGAGTTCTACTAACGGCCCACCATTTTGCATCGGGCGATTCATTCTCCTGCAATTTTTATCTCCTTGGTGACTCTCCTAGTGGTTATGGTAGTGTTTAACGCGAAACGTTGCGTGTAAATACAGTGATTTTACGTGCATGATAATAGTAGATAATTATTTGGTTGATTTTAGATACTGCTACACGCAGTATGTGTAAGCAAATGTATAATTAAAATGGAATTTGCTAGAAGAGTGATGTACGTATGATTGATGTTAAAATATTTTATTCTCACATTTTGGAAATTTGACAGAATGTCAGAAACAATATTTCTCCGATTTCGTTTCCTTCGTTCAGTAATGTACACGTTTTCTGAATGTTTCAGTGTTTTGCGCACGCAGTTATTTAATTACTTGTTTAAATTTTCATTATCTCATTCTTCTCTTATTAAAAATTTCAATGAAATCACAATGTAATTTCTATTTCTTCACCTAGCAAAATCTTTCGAAAATTGTATCCTATACACCTATATCATATTTTTAATTACGTATTTGATCATTTAAGTACTCGTGTCTGAAGTGTAAAAAATATTTCTCTATTCTCTCTTCTCAATTAGTTAAAAAATTGCAGGACGAATTTTAGATTTCTCAAGCATGCACGTACAAATGACTCTCAAATAACTGAAAATTGTTCTTCGAATTTAAAAATTGTAAATGGCGTCAATTAAGAAAGTACTAGCAGAACATGGCTCTATATAAATGTTCCACGTCTCGGTTAACGTCGCTTAGCGACCTATTTTCATTAATTAATGTTGAATTTTTATCAAATGTAACTCAGCGTAAGATAATACGTTCATTTTATATGATAATTATCATCTACCGACTCAAGAAACCGTATGAACATTGTGTTTGCATAATTATCTAAGCCTTCAAAATTTTACGAAATACTTTCATTTTAATATCTCGAACAAGATTCACGACCCGATCTCGATTGTTTGATTTCTAGTTTTATTATTATGACAGAGCTCCATTACAACATATTTTACGTGTAAACGCGTATTATTACATATACTACTGTAACGAAGCTAACAGTATTTGATTTACAGTTTGACGAAAGATAGAAACATACTGGTTATATTTATGTTAGTTCCATTTAAAAACAAGATAAACATGATAAATTTGAGCTTATTTATTCACATAAAGAAAAAACACTGAAACATACAACTATAAAAATAAGCGATAATTCATGTGAAAGACCAATAACGTAATAGTGTGACAACTAGTATTTTTGAAATATTACAGTAGAAATACAATATTACGAGAGATATAACTTAACTCTTGTGTAATTAATTAGAATATTCTTTTCCACTTTTCGAATGAAAGAATATCGACAAATATATTCTTCGTTTGGAAGAAAAATCTCAGGTACATCCTGTACCTTTGTTGCCGCGATTTCTCCGAGCTATCCCTGTTATTCCTCCAGTATCCAGCGGAACTTATACCGTTAATATTTTGCAACAATACCGCGACCTACTTTATACCATTATTCGGATTGTCTCGAAAGATTTGTCGGCAGCGGTCGAAAATCCAATATACTTAATGGAAAGTCGAATGCATGCGGTTGAACTACGAAAGGTCTCGTTTATTTCAAATCAATCGATTCGAGATTCGCCGTGTTCGCTCCTCTTTTTCGTCCTAGAAAGTCTTCACGACAACGACAACGACGACGACAACGACAACGGTGACAGAATTGAGATTGTTACATCACGATTCGTTTAATCCAGCGAGAAACGCCTTGTTACGAAATTAAATCGGCCAAATGGCACTGTGAACGAGATTAATTCGATCCGCGTTCACCGCTGTTGGCTAGTAGAGAAAATTGCCACGCTGATTCATCGTTCGAAGTGATTACGTCGATCTGATTGGACCTGTTTCGAACTGTTTCGCGTTATTAATCCTTTCGATAGAGACTCTGAAATATGTATAAAAGGAATATGTCAACGTCGATGGAAAATTTAACAATAAAACCAACAGAGTGATCGAAATGGCCAATCCGTCATTTTTCATCAAAATTTTCTGGATTTACGCCCGCAGCTTTTGGGATTTCAATAATTTCTTGCTCTTTTTTTCTGCGTGATACACGGACGAAAGCTTGCCTCTCTCTTTGCATTATATTTTTTTCCATGTATCTTTCATTTCGCTTCTCTCCTCCGCGCGTGTTTTGCATTTTAGTTGTCCATTCAGTATTCTAAATATAGTATCTTTAATCTCTCTGTGACGGACGTGGAAAAATGAATTGCGAATATTGATCAGCGACAATTTCGTTCCCGCTTATCATTTGAAATATCCTCGTTGACATACGGATGCAAAAGAATTCGTTTCTGCAAAAAATAAAGTGTGAGATTCTTGAAAGAAGTTATCACGGAAGTTACACCTGTGTATTAAATGCATCAGATATTGACATCTTTTAATATTCATTATCTCTTTCTGTAGATAGTCGATATCCAAATTTCTCGATCGTGCTCATTTGTTAGACAGACAATTCAATCTCCACTCTTATCTCTCAATCTTCATTTCGCAAAAAAATCGCCTCCAGATTTTAGATACCGATCGTTTCATTAATCTATATTCCAGTGATAAAAGTATCCGCCGTGTCCCGCAGTTTTTCTCAATTTTCACTTACTCGTGCGGCAGTTACGCCAACGAGAAATATAAAACAAACCATCTAATCTGTTCCCCATGTACCGCTTGAATATTGCAATAGGTTGCTCGACTAGGTAGCGAAATGGCGGTATAATATCGTTCGTATTGTTCGAACGAGGCACGAACAACCAACCTGTCGACGAGGAACAGAAGAGATACACCCATGGAATTATTATGTTTCAGCTCTACCCGAGGGCACGCCCATTATCGTATCGGAACGCGAACGTTACGGTGTCGGAGACACTTTGAGGGCAAATTGTAGCTTACCACCGTCGAAGCCACCGGCTCATCTCTCATTCACCCTGAACAACGCGGCGGTAAGTGATACCTATAATCCACGCGTCATTATCGAATCCGCAGTTAAGGAAAGCCCGTGAAATTAATGGTTTAAGAGCGTATCTATGCAACCTGCAACAATGTTTGATGTTATCGATACTGGGATCTCGAACGTGTGTATTGTTTTTGGTTTTGGAGAGAAGTACTCGGCTTATAAGTGGAAGTATACATTGATTTGAAATGCGACAATGAAGAGAGTATTTCTGATCACGTTCATACAGAAATTGATTCATTCCGTAAATTTAATCATTAGGTACGCATTAAGTACTTGATGTGGTAAAACATGTACCTTTCCCTCTTGTGACGTCTGTCTTATATTAATACCTTTTATAGAGATCACGAGTAAAAATCACGCTTAGAAATTGATCCCTAATTTGTTTGAAATTTTCTCAACCTGATGGTAATTTTCTATCAAAGAAAATCTATCAAAAATGGTGGTAATTTTCTGATTGGAAATATTGAAACTACGTTTGAAATACATAAAAACTATTAACTCTACAGCACGATCTACAACGTTAAATTGTAATGGTAGCACGCTAAGACAAGACGAAATTATACAAAATTTCTCGAAAAAATTCGTTTCTTCTTTCTCTTTCTTTTGTTTTTCTTTCGCAAAATGCTCATTTTTTCGAACCAATAATGAATCACACCTTACATTACTAAATGCATTATTGCTCGAGATGTGAAAATTCCATTAACACGCATTATGACCGAGGCTATTTTGTATTCAATTGTAGCTGTTGAAGTGTCCACAGAAATCGATACGGGAAAGGTAGCGAACCGTACGTCCCGAAGCGATCTCGAAATTTCACAAAGTAAAATCTCTCCGCGCTGTCCGCCTTGCCCACCGCCTCGTCCATTCTCCCCTCTCCTCCCCCCGTCGTTCTCGAAGAACTTTTTCCTTAAACGCTTTTCCGTGTCATCGAAAATAATTTTCAACGCTGACGTCGGATACTTGTCTGTATCTATACGTGTACACGACTAAAATAATTGCACGATATACGAATGAAACGTCGAAGGCACGAAAGTTTCGAGGGAAGGGAAGAGGGAGCTGGTCTATAAAAGTTAAAGAGGTTAAGCAAAGAAGAGGAGAACTTTTCCCCTTGAAGGATCCTTTCCTTTCTGTGTACATTAGTCTCAGTGTCTACGTCCGCGAAAGATTTGTTACTCTGTAATTTTTAGATTCCGTCTCCCGTCTGAATGATTACCCGCAGAGAGAATTCTTATCTTGTTCCAATGTTTCCAATGTACAGTAGCTCTCGAAAGTATCTCGAGAGCTATTATATATCGTGGAAAATATTTCGCGTGTTTCACGTGTGTTGAATAAAATATTTAGAGATTTTATTAGCAGAATGATACACGAGACGTGACACTGGTGTCTCGCGACTTTGGTAAAAATGTTCTACTATTTCGGTAAAATTTGAGACTGGTTATATTTTGATAAAATTTAGAATAAAATAGAAGAGGAGAATTAAGTTTTAGCTTATCGTATTTTATAGTAGTTCATTATATTTTTGGGAAATATCTTCATTCAATTTATAGAGTTAGCGGTAGTGACTAATTTTGAGAAATTTTGTGAGCAGTGAATAGCAAGAAAACATAAATCAATGTTGAATTTCCTAAAAATTATACCTTTAATACATCTTACATGAGGAATCTAAAAAAATATTTCACGTGCTACAACTTGATTTAACAGTTTTTAATTATAGTTTGATAGTGATCTCTGACTATAAATTTAAATTTTCACGAAACTTTTGCTTTTTCATTGGAATTTCATTGGCTTACGTCCTCCATCACTGTCAGAAATAAATATTTTGTCAACATTTTTTGTTGATCCTAAGACCGATAAATATTTTTTAATAAAAAAAAAAGACACCTACTGACGTTATACTGGCGTAGAAATATATTCACGACAGATATAAACTTTCGTGAAATTTCACTCGCGTGGAAGTTAGTTGAGCCATACATCGCCACCGCTGACTGCACGATCCAAATGCGAGGAACATTTCATTTTCTAGATGTAGGTATTTAGCCATATCGAATAATGAGATCCTACGTCGTCATCCTCGGGGATTACAAGTGATACAGAGGCGGCGGAAGGGTCCTAGCTTTTCCGCGTTCGCTGGCGACGTTTCTTTTTTTTTCCTGCATCTTAATTCAATTCTTGCTTCAGATTAATTGATAACAGAAGATTTCCATCAAACATCCTGGAAAAGAAGAATGAATCGAAGAGCAGTGAAACCCGTGAAAGCGTTTCAACATTTTCAAATACATCTCGCGAATGTATGTACATGTTTTATACGAGATCGATATTACGCAATTTCATTAACGTCAAATTCACTATGGCAATAGATTACGAGGCAAATGTGAAAACATACTACGCAAGCCTCAATATTCAAAGACCAGTTTTTTACATGTTTAAAATAGCTATAGTTCGAATGTTAATTTTAAGTGTGCGACCGTTGGTTCCCAGTTTTACGAATATAATCGTGTCTTGTTAGGACGCTATGAATACAGTTCCAAAACAGTCTCACGTAACACGTAAAATCTATACCGTATAGAAGTCTTTTACGACAAGTGTTCAAATACGCTATCGCGAGCTGGCGTAATTAGAAACGAGATATCGAATAATCTCGCGAGCCAGGTGACAGAAGCCAGCTACGTGGGATCTTCTGCCTTTATCAAATTCCATTACCAGTGGATTTTCAATGCTGCGACGAGGGTAGGACACGAGACGAGGGGAAGTGTGTTATTTCCTTGAACACGCGCCGCTATAAAAAGGGCCGTCGGGAATGTACGGTTATGAAGAAGGTCGACGCTCGCCTCTTCGCGCGATGAGACCGAGAGAAAATTAGTAGTAGGTGTGCGCGCACGAGTGCAAAGAAAATGTTGGCTTATAAGGAACAGTCAGGTTCTCGGCCGGGCGAGAAGATTGGTTTTGCCGGTTTCTTACGGTTAATGCCGTTTCGAGGAATCCGTCCGAATTCCCAGGGAACATTTCACAGCCTCGCAAGAAATGAGTCATTTCGGGAACAACGTCTCGTACAGCGTGTTTCCGGCTATGAGTCGGGAACTAAGTACGCTCTAACACTCGGAACAACCATCTAATTTCTAGGTATGCATATTTACAGCATTGGATGGAGCAGCTTGTTCATTCGGTCTCAGACAGTCAATTTTGATCTATATTGCTTGCTGTTACTTCTCGAAGCAACGCCGGGAGAGTACAAGTTTAAATGAACTACGAAATGTGTAAATGAATACGATAGTTAAAATAATATAATCGAGAGTGAAATAGTGGAACAGATAAGCCTCGTTGTACAGTTTGTTTCTTACAGTGAAACTTATTCCGTGAGATTTGATGTAACATACGTAATACTATTTGCACAATTTATATTTTCATTCTGTGTAACTTGTTCGACGCTATACTTCATTAGTATTATATACATTTTGTATAATTTTATTTATGCTGTGCACTGATTTATGTTTCTTACTGTTAGTAAAAATGTGAAGCTGCAAACCACAGTAGTTTTTCCGACGAATCTTTGTTCTTTAAATCCAAAGTTGAAATCAAAGATACGAGAATCACCAAGTATCTTCCTTTCCTTTATACATCAACGACAGTAACCGCTGCGCTGCTCGAATATTAGGCCTAAGGAAAGAAAAAAATCTATCGATGGCCTGGATTGTTCAATTGATAGAGCAGCGCTCGATAAATGAAAGATCTGGCTTCGAATCCCGGACAAGCAATCCGATCGGCCTATTTTTTCTCCTTACAATGCAGACTGCTGAATGCCATCGAAGAACATATATGACATTAATTGCAGGCCATCGGATCATGCTTCCATATATACCTTTTGCTTCGTGTATTACTCCTCGACGCTGAAATTCTTAAATCGTCACGGTTATTTAAACTTTTATGTTTCTTATAAAAATTCACGAAACGAAACGTGATTGGTGCTGTATTAATTTTTAGTAATTTTTTTTTCTTTTCTTTTATTCTATTCTCGCCTTTTTCTTTCAAATTCATTATTTATGCTCCCGAGATGAGCAGATAGATCGCAACTTGAAAGATTTGTTGAATTTTTGAACGAAGGAAAGTCTTTAAACGAGTTATTCGTGCAACTTTATTGTCTCATCTCGTAATATCAGTGTCCTAAAACATGCTCTCAAAAAGTGATGGCTTACAAGCAGCGGCCTTAGACGGTATTAACTGTCAAAGGGTAAAGTTTAAGTTAATTGCAACAGAAAGCGGATCCCAGGGGTATGTGATGAAGTACAAGATCCTCTTTGAATTGTGCACTCTCGAGGATCGCATAGGCTCTACTTTTTAAAGAGTTCTAAAGTAGCGCATCAACCTTTACTAAGGCGAACGCTTCGAATATCCTGCTTAACACCGTATAAACGAACGAGAATTAAATTACATTTAATTCTCGATCTTTAATTTACAAAACGATTTAGAAGAAGGTAACAGTTGCAGAATATCATTTAACATCATCTAGATGAAAAAAAAAAAAGTCTTCTACATTCTTTTGTAAATTTCATGTAAATTTTCTCCAAAATTCTCCTTCTTTTGTAATCATTCTTTAATATTATAAATATTTTTACTCTTTTCTGTTCATTTCAATGAGCTATTCAACGATGGATTCGTATATACACACGTATTTCTAGACTTTCTTACGCGCTGTCTAATTTACGCTTGATATGTTCTACTTACTGCATCACTTTTTGTTACAGACAAGTGTACAAATGCTATTAAAAACTTCATATAGTATTTAACATAATAAATTTCGTAACAAATACAAAATGTTTAAGCCTTAAAATATAAAACGAAACATATTCTGGATATAGAAAACACTTTGAATGTGAGTTTTGTAAATATAACGTTAAGTTTTGTAAAATTAACGTTATATATAATATAACATAAATATGATACTATAAACTAATTCTAAGACTTATTAATAAAAAAAGCACATGGTGTGTT